CTATCTATCTATCTATCTATCTATCTATCTATCTATCTATCTACCTACCTACCTACCTACCTATCTATCTATCTATCTATCTATCTATCTATCTATCTATCTATCTATCTATCTATTTGTCTGTCTTTCTGCCTGTCTGCTTGTCTCTCTGTCTATTTATCCATCCATCATCATACCCAACCACCCATGCACGTATATCTATTTTCTACCTTCCCACCCTGTCCCAAACTTTACATAATGATTATTACGGATTACTCAAAGTGTTACTTGCTACTGAAGTCTGCAGTATGTAGCCCAGTACCACACAAACTCGGCAATGTCAGCTCAACCCCGAGGCTGCAGCTGTATGCTCTGTCCAGGCAGAAAGAGCAACTACACATAGAAACATCAATTCTAACTTTCAAGGAAAAGAAATGGCAACTTACTGAAGCTGACAGATTTCTCCCTTCATGACCAATTTAATCAACATGTAACCCTTGCATAGCTATGAAACAAACCTTAAAGTTCACTCACGAAGGAGATTCAAAAAGAGATGGATGTTCAGAACAACAAACCACCATCACGTCTTCCCATTTTCCCTAAACCTTTGCAGCTTTGCTTATCCACCAGGAAAGAGCCCTGGGGTAGAACAGGAATCCTTAGAGGTGAAGAGCAAAGAAAATGAACATCTACCTAAGTCATTGCTCAGTCACTAAATTAACCACCTCTTCTGCCTTCTTGCATCTAGAATTCCTGCCTTATAAGATAGTGAGTTGTAACTCTCTCCCTCACCTCCATGACCCCATTAAACCAAGCATTTCCTTCTCTGCAGTATTTAATGCCCTAGACATCAACGAGCAGGACAGTTGGGCAAAGTCTTCTATCGGCACTATTAGATTCCCTAGCCAATAGCAGCAGCAACTAATCCCTGTTTTAGGCAAGCGAGGAAGTGAAATTGCATTTAACTTAAATTGTTAACATACAATCTCTAAAGGCCCCTGAGAACACAGGCAGGCTGATCCCATTAGATCATTGAGATGGCTGTTCACATCAAGGCCGCCTTGTCCTCATCTCTAAGGCACAGTCTCCCACTGACATTGGACTAGCTTGCTTTGCTCTTAAGAGACGCTGAGACTTAAGGCCAACTGTTGGGCAGAGTACATGGAATCTTATGTAAGAAGTGAGAAATAGTAAGAGCTGAAGAGGACAGGAACCCCACAAGGAGAGCAACAGAACCAGAAAATTTGAACACAGTTATCTTCCCAGAGACTCATACTCCAACCAAGTACCAGGCATAGAGATAACCTAGAACCCCTGCACAGATGTTGCCCAGGACAGTTTAGTGTCCAAGTGGGTTACATAGTAATGGGAAGAGGGACTGCCTCTGACATAATCTGATTGGCCTGCTCTTTGATCACCTCCCCCTGAGGGGGGACTAGACTTACCAGGCCACAGAAGATGACAATGCAGCCACTCCTGATGTGATCTAATAGACTAAGATCAGAAGGAAGGAGAGGAGGACCTCCCCTATCAGTGGACTTGGGGAGGGGCATGCGTGAAGAAGGGGGTGGGAGGGTGGGATTGGGAGGGAAGGAAGGAGGGGCTTATGGGGGAATACAAAGTGAATAAAGTGTAATTAATAAAATAAATAAATTAAAAATAAAAATATTTTTAAAAAAAAGAGTGCACTTTCATAGCTAATGCCTTCAGGGTCCTTATTTTCTATCCAAACAATCCCCCTTTCTTACCAACCACATGAGATCAAGAAATGAAAAATACGTAGACTCAACCAAATTTTCTCCCTCTCAAATTATTGTTCTGAAGCTGGTTCTATCATATATCTTTGTAGCCAAGAGAAGGTAGTAAACACAAACTATTTTAATTCTCCATGGGAAATTGCAGGAAACATAGCAAACTAGACTTGTGTGTCTTAGAACTCAGACTCACACTGCTCACATAGCTAAGCAAGATTTCATTACCTTTTCATCTCTTTCTTGTCATGTCTTAGCAGCAGAGATTCTAAGATCTCTTAATACTCTCTGATCTGCCAAGTAAAAGACCACATACAGTCAGAAGTAAATATTATACTGGACTACTGAATGGTACTCTGAGCCCAGGGTGGTTGGTATCTTAAGCTTGGAATCCCTGAACTTGGGAGGTTGAGTCAGGAGAACTGTCTTGGGTTCAAGACTAGCCTGGGCTACAAAATGAAATCCTGGGTGAGGGAAAAAAACAAATGGAAGTGGTATATACTTTTAAGCCCAGCACTGAGGAGACAGAGGCAAGCAGGTCTCTGAATTGGTGATCAGCCTGGTCTACACAGAGAGTTCCAGGACTCTCTATGCTACACAGTGAGACCCTTATCAAATTCATTTCTGTTACAGCCTCAATAAATCACTGGTTCAGTTTACTCTATGACCTAAAGAGTAAGATAGAAATTATAAAGGTGAACAAAACTTTTCACAGCTCCTTGAACAAAAGCTCAATGTGATTATTTTAGATTACAATTAATACCTTTTCTCTCATATCCTTGGCAGGACAAGTGTTTGCTTTAAAATTAATAGAAAATGAAGGCCACAGGAAGTGATAAGCATAAACGTGCGATTCGGCTTGGTGTCAGTTATTTAGGTGTGCATTTCAGGGTGTTCTTTCTCATGCTTGCCACTTTCAAAAAAAAAAAAGAGAGAGCCATGTGAAAATATCTAAATGAATGCGGGGGAAGCAGTGTCAGAAATCAATACTTCTCTCCCAGCGTGTTTAACCTGCTGGAATGAAGTGTTAATCACAGAAATAAGATACCATATTACATTTATAAACTAATGAAACTAGAAAAAGCAAGGCGCGTGACACTCTAATTAAACACCTGGAAGACAGCCAAGCCTGTGTAAGTTGATAACCCAAGTACAATCTCTGGCAGGGAAAAGGCAGGTCTGCAGTGAGTTGATATGGCCAGCTCGGCTGTTAATTGAATAACAGGCAATCTATAAACATCACTAATTGCACATGTGTAAGCCCATGTGCAAGTGCAGAGGCTGCCTCAAGAAGCACCCCAGAACACGGTGCGCCCAGATGAAGCACCCGGAAAAATCTTCTGTCTCTCTCAAAGCACTGCAGCCGTACCTTAGTCCTCACCACAGCATCCCTCTGATTAGCCTCTGCACAGTAACTTAATGATACATTTTTCAGAAGATCATTTTTCTTCCTAACTCAACATGAACTGCAGAACTATCAATTACCCATTTCAGCAAAGAACAAACAAGTAATCTAGAAATTCCAGCCTGTGAATGAAAAGCTTTCTAAATTGTAAAGAAGACATGGGCTTATTCCCAACAGGCAAAATGCTTTTCAGAATCGTTCCCAGGTATTCTGCAGAAGTGCTACAGCTACTGCGAGCAGCACTGAGTGTTAGGATTTGACACTTTCCTCTCTCTCTCTCTCTCTCTCTCTCTCTCTCTCTCTCTCTCTCGGATAGAGCCATCTGAGGAGACTCAGAAACTGTTGTCAGAACTTACTTATCCATTTAATAAATCCTTTTTGTAGGACTATATCAGCCTCAATGAATGCACAGCATTTTGAAACTGCAGCTCTGGGCTAGTAAGACGGCTCAAAGGTTAAAGGCAATTGCTGTGCAAACCAGGGAATCTAAGTTCAATCTCTGCAACCCATATAAAAAGACAGAGAGAGAGAGAGAGAGAGAGAGAGAGAGAGAGAGAGAACCAGCTTCACCAAGTGGTCCTCTGCCCTCCACACTCATGGCTGCTTACCTACCTACACACACACACACACACACACACTATAATGAAGAATTGAATGCTATAGAGAGCACTTGGATAACCATGAGAAAAGAAAAGAGAAAAATGGAAAGACTCATTCCAAGAAGGCCCAAAGTAAACTTTGTTCTGAAGGCTAAGCTCTACCATAATCAATGTGCCCATTCCAACATGGTTCCGCATAAGCAGAAAGAGAAGGTGGGAAAATGAGAAGTCTTTCTGCTTATGTCCTGGGCAGAAACCAAACAAGACAGAAAAGGGAGGGAGAGAGCATGAAAAGGGTGGTTATTAAAGTCTGCCTTGTTGGCAAGGGTATTGCAAGAAAATCACCTAAGTACAAAAGGTTTGATGGGCCATTGAGCATATGTTTCAAAATAGACCATGCAATGCATACTGAGTTCAGAGATACCTGCTGCCTACCAATATTAAGTGTGAAAAAAGAGTCACTCACGCCCACTATACATTCCACAGGGTGTCATTACCACAGATATAGTCACTGAAGTGAACCTGAGCAAAATGACCCTTGTGACACAATGAAGTTTGGGGTTTGGGGGCAAGAAGTACGCCCAGTCCCCCAATAATCCTGGATACACAGAACACTGTTTCTTTAATTTGACAACTGTTTAATGCAAGCAACTACTGATCATTACAGAAGACTACAAACCCCTCAGGAAATCCACCATTGTAGTAGCAGCAACAATCGAAGAGAACTACTTATTAAATTGTAAAATAAATTCCCTGAAACCACTAATACCTAACTAATTTACTTTTCTTCAAAAAAGTCAGAAGTAATAGAATGTCAATTATCTAACAAGCTTTGTAGTTGAAGACTCCCTTCCCAAGGTGAGCTCCAAGAACACATCTTAGACTCATGCTAGAACATACTATCTTGTCTTTTTTTGTGTGTGTGCAGGAAAGAGATGTCTACACATGTGCTCTAGTAACTGAGCTCTAACAGAAGAACAGATTAGTTGAGGATTAAAAACCTTACATGAAAAGGCCATTTAAGGACCATTCCTAACTGTCTAAGTAGAAAATGACTCCATTGATCCAAGATAGCACACTACTTTAATTCTACTTAAGGAGGATTGCTATGAGTTGAAGGCAAGCCTGGGCTACATAAGACTCTGTCTGGGGGTGGGAGGAGGCACAGGCATGAAACTGGAGAGATAAAATGGGAAGATATATTCATAGTGTTCTAAGTGTGATGGCTAGTTTTATGTCAAATTCACACAAGTCATCTGAGAGGAGGAACCTCAAATAAGAAAATGCCTCCATAGGACTGAACAATAGGCAATCCTGTAGAGCATTTTCTTAATTAGCAACTGATGTGGGAGAGCCCAGCCCATTGTGAATGGAGCCACCCTGGGCAGGTGGTCCTGGGTTCTATAAGAAAGCAGGCTGAAAATGGCAAACTCACAGAGCTGGGTCAGGCCATCTCTCCTCTTGGGTCCTCTGTTTTCCACAAGTCCAATAAGAACCCCAATTTTAGAATATTTTAAACAGGTTCTAAATCTGTGTTCATATGTGACTTTGGAAACTTTGAGGTAAATTAAATCAGCCAGGAGTGTATTACTTATCTAAATTATGTTGAATTATATTAAATTTTGTTTTGAATAGCTAAAAGAAAAAAAAAAAAAAGCAGGCTGAACAAGCCATGAGGAACAAGCTAGTAAGTAGTACTACCCCATGGATACTGCAAAAGCTCCTGCCTCTAGATTCCTGTCCTGTTTGAGTTCCTGTCTTGGCTTTCCCTGGTGGACTGTGAACCAGGATATGTAAGCTAAAATGAACCCTTTCCTTCTTAGTTGTTTTGGCCATGGTGTTTTATCACAGCAATAGAATCCCAGGTAAGAAACATGAAGAAAGCACAAATGCTATTTCTGCCTTGGAAGATGAGGTAACTAATCAGGCTAGGACCCAGAATGACAAAGCTAGGAAACTTCTGAGACTATAATACATAAGAAAGTTCAATATACAACTTTATGACATTTATGACATCCAAGTTAAAATGCCCAGGTAAGAACTAGAAAAAGTCCAAATTAAGCTTTGCTATACCTTGCCCACTGAACCAGACTGCTATGATGTGGAAATTGGTTTCTTTCTCAAAGGGTCAATTTCTAGAAGTTAGGTCCCAATTTCAAAGATAATGGGAACTTTAAGGGTTGGGCCAAATAAAACTCTCTGCATTGAAAGCACCCTCCAGACCAAAGCTGGCCTACAGAAGGGCCTAGGTCTCCCTACCTAGTACTTCATCAGCTCCCAAGAACAATATATCCTAAAAGACCAAGCCAAGCCTGGCCCAGCCTTTGGGTTCCCTCGCCTCTTCTTCTCCTCTCCCACTCTCTTATATATTCTTACCATGTGATGTTTTCCTCCATGTAATAACTGAACATGACCAAAAGACCCTCCCCATGGGGCTGCTGGATCTTAGTCTTTCCACCTTTAAAACTAATAGTTAAATAAACCTTTTAAAAGTACTTATTCGGTAGTATATTATCAGGTCAACAGAAAGACAACAACACAAGCTAATATATCTGTGGTACAGGCTTGTAATTCCAGCACTTAGTAAGCTGAGACAGAAGGTTAACATTAGTATGAGTTCAGCCTGAGTTATGCAGTGAGATCTTTTCTCAAAATAATAATAATAACAATAATAACAATAATAATAATAATAAAAGTAATTTTTAAGAAAAGAAAGAAATAACTTTATTCTATTAAAGGTTTCCTTCTCTGTTTGCTATGGTTATCCTGTGTCTGTCTGGAAACCATACTTTCTCAAGCTACAAAATCTGTGACACAGTATACTATAACATGCTCAAAGTTACAAAAGTATCTGGGGCACCCAATGCACCCCTGAAGTTTTCCTATTAGAAACCATCAGAAACAGGCTCCATAAGTCTCAAATGGATGAGCAGAGTAGAGAAGGAAGGGCAATTTATTCCCTGCGCTATAATTTGGCCCTCATAGAGCTTCCAGAAGTCTCATAAGAGTTTAGTGAGGACTGAGAATAAAGGTCAGTTAGTAAAGTACTGGAGTAGTACGAGGAGGGCTTGGGTTCTGTCCCCAGTGGTACATACACAGGACACATGGGTTCTATCTTCAGCAGTACATACATGTGTCACATGATACACACCTATAATCCCAGCACTCTGGAGGTAAAAGGCAAGAGGATCACAAATTCAAAATCATCCTCAACTATATAGAGTTCAAGAATACCCTGCAACATTTAAAACCCTGTCTCTCCTCCCTCCCACCCACCCTTACGAAAAAGAAAAAGTTAGTAGTCTGCTAGGAGAGAGAGCACTTCCTGGCATGTGCAAGGCTCTAGGCTTGCCACAGCAGAAATGAGGACTGGAAGCTAAGGGTTATGGCATGCAAATGTGGTCATGTTACAGGCTGTAGCAAGAAATGCCCAGCAAGTTGCTGGGAAAGCCTGGTAGATACCAAGAAGGAAGAAACATTGAACTGCAGAAATATTTATGTTACCTTCAACGTCACAGCTCAAGTAGTTCCGTACTTCATTCAAGATGAAGTTGATGTCTTCTTCAGAAGGAATAGGGTGTGGTGTGATGTCAGTTGGTGTGTCAGTAGTGCCAGCAATTGTCATCTTCTCCCAAGGCAAGAAGAAAATAACTCTTCCATCACTGGTTGCAGGGTCAAGAAGTCCCATGTTCTCAGGGCTGGAGGACAAAAAAACATTTCTGTTTGGCACTCATGCTCAAATACACAAAACAAGAGAGAAGTTAGCTATTATTTTATTATTTTATCCTAATCTGTAATCCTAAAATTTCAAAAAAATGGTAAAAAAAAAAAAAAAAAAATAAGGAACTGAGCAAATGTGATAATACTATCCTATGATCTTCTCCATCTAATAATGCAAGGTTAATTAATTGTCTTTCAACTGTTTTGGTATACTCTGGACCATTCACATTAGATAATGTCAGTGGGGAATAAATGCCTATAATTTCTTTTATTATGGCCAATTAACGATGACTCTTCAACCTTTCTTAGAGTCTATGAAAAGTATTTTCCTGGGACATTTGACATTTTGTACATCCCACAGTGGACAGCCTGAGAAGTCAATGAGAAAGTGAAGCCAAACTTTCCAGAAACTGAAATGAAATCGTGAACCCCTTCCTTCCTTGATGCCTACATGAAAATGTGCCACTTTGTCAAATATGAGATTTCTTACCTTGTCTCAAAGTGACGGGACAGTTAGTTAACAAATGCACAAATGCACGGAGGAGAAAAGAACGCAGCCCTTTATTTGTTTGTCTCTTATATTTGCTAAATAACAGTGCCATTGAATGGGTCAAATGGAAAATAGGTTAGCAATAAGAATCTTTCAAACAACAGACACATGCATTACATTAATAATTAGAGTAAGAGACAAGCACCTCACACGGATGCAAAAAAATCCTTCTAAACTTTAGCCAAGAATTTTCACAAGTACGTGCTGCTCAATTTAAAAGCAATATCACAAATGCACTTGAAAGAATGGGCAACTGTAAACAAGCATTAACAAAAACCCAAAGTTGGGGCTGGAGAGATGGCTCAGTGGTTAAGAGTATAGCCGTTCTTTCAGATGACTGGGGTTTGATTCCCAGCACCCACATGGCAGCTCACAACTATCTGTAAATTTAGTTCTAGGGTATAGGATGCCCTCGTCTGAGCCCTTTGGGCACTAGGCATGCTCAAGGTGTGTATAAACATACATGCAGACAAAATATGCATCCACATAAAATAAATAAATTAAAATAAAATCTATGGATTGCTGACTAAAAACTATTATTTGTGTGTACATAAGTATATAATTACACTTTCAAGAAAATGTGAAATTGTTAAAAAAAAAAAAAAAAGAGTGGGAAGGATCCAAAAGGGTCATATTCAAATCGAGTAATAGAAATCTTTAAAGAGCTGTCACATCTGACTGAATTCTCAGAGGGCTAGTGTTAAAGATATGTTCTGCGATGATATTCCTTAGAAAGGAGACAATCACACTTGGTTTAGAGCATGCAGTAGACTTCTAATGTCTATTATACCCTTAAAGATTTATACCCTTCAAAGATTTATCTAAATGGGTAAGGAGAAGAGGCTAAAAACTGTTTAAAAGAAAAGCAAAAATGTACATAAAACAGAAATCTCTGATCAACTTCATTAGTGCCTCTTTATGTAAACCACAAGAAGGTCCAGTTATTCTCAGCAAAGCTGTTAGCCCTGCAAAACTCTGTATCCTAAATTCAAAGAGCCTGAGAGAATGCCACTCATTCAGAGCCTTTCCCTTAGGTTTCCACCACCATCCAGAGGCCCAGAGCAGAAGGGAATTTCACTCTAACACATTGAAAACATGCCCAACATTTTCTGGTCTCTAAAAAGGACTGAATCTTATTTGCCATTAAAACTACAATTCCAATCCAATTGCAAGTCATATAATTTGGGGGAGGCGGGTAGAGAAGGAGGCTCCAAATTGATGTGCCCTTAGATTAAGCCTTCAGTCACTTTTGGTTGGATACTAACACATTCAAGTTCCAAGCTTTGATTTGATAAATGGCTTTTTGTTGAAACAAAACATTCAAGAAACTTCAAGAAATTTTATGTTGACGTAATTTATGTACGGCCATCTCATGGACCAGAAAACTCGTGATGGGTTTCAACAATACACACGAGAAGCCTAGGCCTAAGATTCTAATATTGAGTAATGAGGCAGGAGGTTCAGTTAGATAAGTGCAACTATACTGAGACCCTCAGAAACCTCCACTGCAATAAAAGCCATTTAAAGGGTGAAGGTGACAGCTACCAGCCGACATGTACCTGGAACCTGTAGAGAGTCAGCTGCTTAAGTAAAGACATATGTGTCGGGCATAAACTTAACAAGCACAGTGGGAAGACAGAGCTACTAACAAATGGTATAAAATTTTAAGAATCCACTTGGAAGTATCTTTCATCAGTTCCAAATTACCTAATTCATAGTCTCCCTCGAGGAAAAGTTTGTTTTCTTACGAAGGATTAGTTCTGCAAGGTCACCCTAAAGAGTCAGTGCTGGTGACAGTCAGCACAATGCGAGAGCCGCACAGCCCTTTTCAATCTGTATGATTCATTTGGCATCAGCGGGGGGAAGCTTGCTAATTTATGTGTGTGTCTAGGATTAAAGGTAATGAACATTTTTCTCATGCAGACCATTGCTTTCCTGAAGAACCCTTAGTTAAACTGAAATCAATTTATTGTTAACCACTTAGCAATCAGCGTTAGAGCTAACAGTATGTACACACACATTACAGGGAAAAAAATTGACCTCTTGTCAGTAGTAAAAAGCAGGCTGGAAGGAAGAGGTGATTACATTCATGTTCGGCAGTCAGTGGGAGTGCCAGTGTGGCTTTTGGAAGAAACCACAAATCTGAGGAAAATTCCAGATTGGTTTTTAAGAGTAAATTCACAGAAATAATTTTTGTATGCTGGGTTTTCTGAAGTTAAGATAATTCTCCTGGGGCTGGAAGGATGGCTCATCGGTTAGGAACACTGGCTGCTCTTCCAGAGAACCAGCGCTCTATTTCAAGCACCTTTGTTGGGCAGCTCACAACAACGTATTTCTACCTCCACAGGGAGGCAGAGGCAAAAGGATCGCTGTGAGTTCAGGCCAGCCTGGTCTACAAAGTGAGTCCAGGATAGCCAAAGCTACACAGAGAAACTTTGTCTCGAAAACAAAAACAAAACAAAAAAAAATAAATAAATATAATAATAATAACCGCCCCTGCTTCCCCCAAACACACACCTAAAAGCTGTTACCATAACTTATGATCATTCTAATTTTGGAATGTTAGTTAGGGTTACATCAAACTTGACTATTCTATAAAGATACTTCTACCAATGATGCAACATCAAAGAAAGGCCTCCAAGCTTAACTTTTTATCTACTAGCCTACACTCAAAAAATTCCTTCAACTTGAAAAAAACCTCAGGTGACAGAGTCAGAACAGAAGGCTGTTACCTATAGTACCCGGGCATCACAATGTGGACGCCCGCACTGGGCTGGCAGATGGGGGCAGCACTGTTATCGTCCATTTTGCGCACGGAGTCTGTGAAGGGGCCGGTGGCATTGATGACACATTTGGCTCTCACGTCAAACTCCTGCCCTGTGAAGAAAAGCAGCAGCAACTGCATATTCTGTCTGTTCTCTGCTCAGTGGTGCCGGCTTATTAGTTCATCTATTAACTTAACCTGCGGTGACGTGTGGTACATAGCACCCTAAGTGACATGAACAGCCAGTTATTGAAGAGCCAAACAAAAGGCTCACTTCTGAGTAAATTTACCCAAAACAAGTCCAAACTAAAAGGGAAAAAAAAAAGCAAACCACTTTTTCATTGTGGTTCCCGGTCTATTTATAAAGCGCCTCTGCTCGGGAGGCTGCGGATACAGCTCCACGGGGGGGGGGGGGGGGGGGGTGGATAAGAGCTCTTCCCAGCATGCGAAAAGCCCTGGGTTCAGTCCCCAGCACTGGAACCGAAAATCCTATACAGCGATTGTGAACTAAGTGCTAAACAAAGAACGTGGGATGAGTAAAGGGTCTGTCCTTAAAACCCAAACGGAAAGAGAAAGAGGAAGAGAGGAAAGAAGGAAGGGAGGGGGGGAGGAAGGGAGAAACAGAGAGAGGAAGAGAAGGAATGAAGGAAAAGAGTTCACAAGTTCAGTGGATTAAGATACTTGACATCAAGCCTGAAAACCTGAGTTTGATCCTGATAATCTACATGATGGAAGTACAAAATTGACTTCCAAGTTGTCCTCTGACCTCCACATGAAGGTTATGACATGCACATGTGACTGCACATTCACACACAATTAAATCCTTCAACTCCAAAAAATATATATCTATATCTAAATGCTTAATTACATTACTATGAGAAACATATTTCACAAGTGCTGCTTTTGTTCAAGGAACGATGCAATTTTGCAACTGCCTAGCAGTAGGGCCATGGCAAGAATGGAACTCTGGTTGAGTTATAAGTGATTGACTCAAAGGACGTGTAAATGCCCTGCCTGTGCCACCTAAGTGATGCTCGGAGACTTGGCACATTGATTTAATTTTATTAATCACATGTTTCTGTGAAGGGAATGAAATGCATTCACAGCTGCGAGAGTTCTATGGGCATTTATTATTATCCTTATCATTAGTGTTACTATTTAACACAAAGGGAAAAAATTGGCCAAGTCCCACGAGGGAAAATTTTCATGTTAAACCAGGCATTGTTGACAATAAAGAATATAATTAATATGACTGAAGTCTGCCTTAGCTGAAAGAAAAGCGACAGGAAAATCCTCATTCAGGCATTGTACAAGCACAGCAGAGTGAGAAGAAATGCCTCCCTGGTGGACCCTGGTGTACCTGTGAGGACATCCTTGCACCGCGCGCCGCTCACACGCTCCTTCCCAGTTTCGGGGTCTTTCTTCTTGAGCAGGCTCACCACCTCCATGTAATTGGCAGTGGCAGCCCCATACCTGGCAGCAGTGAGGGCAATGGCAAGGTTCATCCGTGCGTCGTTGTGTTGTCCTGCAGCGGGGAGAGGCACAAGGGGAGGGATGGGAGTCACCTCGAGCCACGGCCTGGTGGTACAGGAGTGTGTCACAACAGATATGTCACATGTGTCCCTGTCACCTGGGATCTACGTGATGGCTGGGCAGCTCTACGGGGCACAGTCTGGAAACATGGGGTCAGCCTCGGGCGACATTTACCTGCTTCTTCAGGAAGCACGTTTTGTAAAGATAGGGATGATGGAATTATTCCTTTCCTACAGAACTGACATCAATTATCTCAAAGTTTCAAACTTATTTCTCAAATAAGTAATTATTCTCTCTGTGTGGGAACATATGTATGTGTCAGACTTTTTTCCAGTACAGAAAAACCATAACCATGGAAGCGAAGCAATTCAAAAGCTTGGAATATGTGACACCCCAACTGGTGTTGATGAACAATTTTTTATTAGTGCATGCCTATCTAGCATTCAAAATCAAGACTTTCCTCTTCCATAGAGAATCTCAGTATTCCATAAAAGGCTTTCTCTTCTTTTGAATTTTGATCAGGGCTCCTTAAAATGTAACATTTTTTTTTAATAGCACATAAAAGGTAAGAAATTAGGCAGGGCAAAATTTAATTACAGAACAATTCCTACCTGTGTTGTTAGAGATTTATTACTGAAAAATCCTAGTTAAAGAAAACTAAGGGGGAGGAGAAGGGGGAAGAGATGATTAATCACTTTAAAATACTGGCATCACTGGAGACTTTTCCTATTTATTATTGCCAGTGGAGTTAACGCTGACCAGGGAGAATTACTCTACATTGCAGGGCCAGGTTCTCTGTGCCCTGAATAATTAATTATCCGGGGCTAGATGTATTGAAGCAGAGTTCAAATTCCCACACGTTGAGATCAGTTCTATCAAGATAATACTGATACAGGGATGAATCTAATGGAGATTGTTGTTGATTTATGCCACCAGCATACCAAACGTGTAGTATAAATGGTTTATGTAAAGTTTCTTCCTTGTGATTCAGTCTGGGAGCCCTGAACGAGTCATATGTTCCAGGGAAAAGGGCAAAGTTATAAAGAGAGAATCGATGACTGAAGATCCTGCAACCCCTCCCCACAAACATCTTATTCGAAAGGTGCCTAAAGAACACCAGCCTGGAAGAAACTCTCCTCCCAAGTACATGCACTTTAACAAGAGACTGGCTACTAAGGCCTGGTGTGAAAATTATTTTATGGTTCTGGGGTGGCTTTATCCAAAACTGTGTCATTTATTACCCTTAAACTATCACATTGTATTTACTTTATCAAAAACTTCACAGACTGAAGTACTGAAGTAGTGAAGCAGGAAGCTGGGAAACAAGCAGATTCTATCGGCTTCAATTCAGCATGACTCTAAAGCGGCTTAAAACAGGAAAGTTTGAGACACCAGCTTTCATTAATGTAAGTTCTTTAAAACTAGTATATTCTGTGCTAGATGAATATACACTTCCCAAGCAATAAAAATGCATGTCACTTTACAGTTGCTTTTTCCCTGGGACAAAAAGATGGCAAGACTGATGGTCGTGCGGCACACACCTTTAATCCCAGCACTGAGAAGGAAGAGGTAGGTGGATCTCTGTGAGTTTGAGGCCACAGTGAGTTCCAGGACAGCCAGGGCTACATAAAGAATTGTCTCATAGATAGATAGATAGATAGATAGATAGATAGATAGATAGATAGATAGATAGATAGATAGTTTTTTTTCTAACTAAAAAACTGGTACATTTCCTTCTGCTTCTATGTCTTTTTCGGCTCTGCCCTCCACACCAAACTGAAAGGCACCACCACTTTTCCATCTCCCTCCTCCCTGCAGCTGCTGAGACTTAGACTTTGCTTTCCTGTTGTTTTCTTTCAGACTCTAACAGAATTGTCCTCAAACAATGCATTCTTGTATGAAGTAGCAAAGCAACATCACAATCATTACCAACTCCAAGCTGATTTTGATAGCATCCATTTTTCTTTACCCAATTTTAAAAGTATAGCCTCAGATTTCACCATACACCCATCAGAATGTCTAAGATCAAAAACTCAAGTGACAATACATGCTAGAGAGGATGTGGAGAAAGGGGAACCTCCTCTATTGCTGGTGGGAATGTAAACTTGTATAACCACTTTGGAAATCAATCTGGTGCTTTCTCAGACAATTAGAAATAGTGCTACCTCAAGATCCAGCTATACCACTCCTAGAAATATATCCAAAAGATGCTTAAGTATACAACAAGGATATTTGCTCAACCATTTTCGTAGCAGCTTTATTCATAATAGTCAGAATATGGAAACCCAAATGTCTCTCAACTGAGAAATGGATACAAAAATTGTGTTACATTTACACAATGGAAAACTATTCAGCAATTAAAAACAAGGAAATCATGAAATTTGCAGGCAAATGGTGGGAACTAGAAAAGATCATCCTGAGTGAGGTATCCCAGAAGCAGAAGACACATGTGGTATAGACTCGCTTATAAGTGGGTATTAGACACATAATATAGGATAAACATACTAAAATCTATATACCTAAAGAAGCTAAGCAAGAAGGAGGACCCTGAAAAAGATGATCAAACCTCATTCAGAAAGGCAAATGGAATGGATATCGGAAGAGGGAGAAAACAGGGAACAGGACAGGAGCTTACAATAGAGGGCCTCTGAAAAACTCTACCCAGCAGGGTATCAGAGCAGATGCTGAGACTCATAGCCAAACTTTGGGCAGAGTACAGGAAATCTTATGAAAGAAAGGGGAGATAGAAAGACCTGGAGGGGACAGGAGCTCCACAAGGAGAGCAACAAAACCAAAAAATCTGGGCCCAGGGTTCTTCTTCTGAGACTGATACTACAACTAAGGACCATGCATGGAGATAAGCTAGAACCCCTGCACAGATGTAGCCCATGGCAGTTCAGTGTCCAAGTGGGTTCCCTAGTAATGGAACAGAGACTGTCTCTGGCATGAAGTCAGTAGCTGGCTCTTTGATCACCTCCCCCTGAGGGAAGAGTATCCTTACCAGGCCACAGAGAAAAACGAGGCAGCCAGTCCTGATGAGAGCTGATAAGCTAGGGTCAGATGGAAGGGGAGAAGGACCTCCACTATCAGTGAACTTGGGGAGGGGCATGGGTGGAGAGGAGGGATAGAGGGTGGGATGGGGAGGATATGAGGGAGAGGGCTACAGATGGGATACAAATTGAATAAACTGTAATTAATAAAAAAATAAATAAAATTTTAAAATTGCAACAATTATTGACAAAAAAAGAAAATAAAAGTATAGCCTCTCTTCTTACTTTGTCAATATGTAACACAATAAATAACAATAGCTTACATTGGGGTACAATGTGAGCATCAAGTGCTATTCCTTCCACACCACATAATGTCTCCTTATTGGCTTCTAAATCCCAATACAATTTAAAGATCATCAGCAACTGAAAGCATGAGGTGGAAACAGACCCCTTGCTCCTTATCTTTCCACAGCCCTCCAGTCCCCAGCCAGACCCTGCCTTGACTTGATTTCAGGACTGTCACTTCAGGATACAATGCTGGATCACCACAGTATAATGTCCAATTGCCAGAACTATCTGCACTTACCTGAAATTCAGGCCTTCTTGTCTTTGCCCTGCCTATTACTGTTCTTTTTGGGTACCACTCTGGAAGCTCCAGGAAAGCATCTCTTATGATCCAATTCCTGTATTAAGTCTCCCCCCATCTGCTTCTTGTTCTCTCAAAGCAAATTGTATACTCTTTCTCCTAGCCCAGCATTAAGTACCACGCATTCCTATTCTACTGTCTTTCTGATACTGTATTCACCCATATACTCATCTACTTCCTACTTAGAAAAATAACATACTCTTCTTATGCACTAAGCCCTGAGACAAATGAAGGGAATATAATGATGAAGACAGAAGACAGTGGCCCTGGCTGAAACTGAACCTCCACTGCAGCCACAGGGTCATCCCTCTGCCACAGAGCATGGTAGGAGGACATGTTTATCCCTCCCCCTTCCCTCTCTCAGCACAAAACAAATTTCTAATAAACTGTTAAATTTTCAGAAACCGGTAAGTTATAGCCAGACATTTGAGGGCAGTAGAGAAGCCAGCAACGCACAAAATCTGAACTCAACCCCGAATAGCCTTTTCCGGAGGCTGAATAAGTCGGAAAAGAAGGAGCAATGCTTATGGGTGTGTTCCTAAGGAATAGCCCACATGCTGCCCCTGCTCTGTGGAAAAGCACGCATAGCTGCTATTAGCTCCTAAAAAGCCGAAAAGCAAAGAGTTCGACTTCTTTCTGAGTCCAGAAACGCCCTGCCCAGTTATCTCCTGAGATCAAAAATTCAAATGACAATACATGCTAGAGAGGATGTGGAGAAAGGGGAACCCTCCTCTATGACTGGTGGGAATGTAAACTTGTACAACCACCCAGAAACGCCCTGACCAGTTATCTCCTCCGTGGCTCTCCTCTCTGCATCTGGAGCAATGCTTCGCCTCCTTCAATTTCAACTTGCCCTTTCTGCCCCGGAGATGCTGAGGCCTGCAGCCAGCACGTAAGGTGTGACGCGTTTTCGTTATTTTCAACTAAACCATCCCATTCTGTTTCCTGACATTTTGAAAATATCTCTGTGTCCTGTAATTTTATTTCTAGATTTAAAAAAAAAAAAAAAAGCTTTTGACAATGCTGCCGGTCATGAAACCTGGATAGGATAGTCTGAAATGCCCACCCAATTGATCTTCTTGTGAAGCTTAGATTCGTCCAGCCCTGTTTTCCTCAGAACCAGGCAATATCTCCTGTTTCGTTCATCAGCATCACCTTGGCACCCACACAAGGGCCCAGATGGCAACTGCGCAAATCTCTCTCCTGCTCTGATCTCGCCTACAGTTGAAATCTTACATGTGTGCACACACTAAGCTCACAGCTGCAGGACAGAAACAGAGGAGAGGAAAGACAGTCCAGAACATGAGAGGCACCCACCAAAAGGAACACTGTGGAGTGAGAGGTCTTCTAACAGAC